TTTTTTTTTTTTTTTTTTTTGAGACCAAGTTTTCACTCGTCACCCGTGCTGGAGTGTAATGGCGCAATCTTGGCTCACTGCAACCTCTGCCTCCTGGGTTCAAGCGATTTTCCTGCCTCAGCCTCCCGAGTAGCTGGTATACAGGCATGCGCCACCACGCCCGGCTAATTTTTGTACTTTTTTTTTGGTAGAGATGGGGTTTCACCATGTTGGCCAGGCTGGTCTTGAACTCCAGACCTCAGGTGATTTGCCCGCCTCGGCCTCCCAAAGTACTGCAATTACAGACATGAGCCACCGCACCCGGCCAAAACCCATGGCTTCTGAGCGGGAAGATAAGGTGGGAGAAGGGACCAGGTACTCAGGGTAGCTGCCCAGTCTAGCAAGGCTTAGGGAGAATTACGGGGTCCTTGAACAGCTGCACTGCCTCTTGTCTTTCTCCTCCCCCACACCAAGGTGCCAAGTTGGGGGGAAAGTCCTGTTCTGATAGAAACAGGTACAGCCAAGGCTGGGTCCTCACCTTCCTTTGACTCATATGTCCGGTTATACGTAATGACAAAGTTCTTGAAGATTGAAGCCATCTTCACAGGCAAGTCCTGGATAGGTAGACCAGTCTTTAGGCTAACCAGGGAAACCCACTCCAGAGGGAAGGGAGGAGAAGGGCGATGAGGCAGTGGCTGGCTCCCCAAGCTACGGGCTCCTCACCTGGGGCAGGGGATCCTCATTCAACAGGGAAAGGACTGAGCTGAAAGTCTCATTTCTGCTGTCTGGATGGGGTTGGGACAGAGAAGAAATCATTGAGCCCTGAGTGAAGGCTGACTTGGGCTCCCCAGCAGCCTTGGGCTCTCCCAGCACCTGGAACCTTGGTGCCCACCGGGCCACAGTCCTTCCGCAGCAGCACGTGTTTTCCAAGTTCATCCAGAATTTCGAAGCTGCAGAGCTGGAGGGAGAGGAAGCAGCTGCTCTGGGGGCCTGGATCTGGATCTGGGGAGCAAGATCTGGGCAAGATGGAGCTGGAGGCTCTTCAGATTAGGGCCACCCCTAAGGCAATCACCCCATCACAGTGGACAGCTGCACCGGGACATCCTCCCCTTCAGAGCATCCTGGTTTCTGGCCCTCGGGGCCTGGGAAGTGGCTCGAGGTGGGGCATCAGCTGCATCAGATTCCTGCGTCTTGACCTAACTCGTCATAATCTAACTGCTGCCTTACTCAGCCAGGCGGCGGGGAATCCCAAGAGCCTCATCACTCACCAGGGTT